AAAAACTGAAAAATTAAGAATCCTACATGTGCTCAACCGGCTGCCGTCCGTCTATTTGAAGTCGGATCTGTTGTAAAGTGTTTCGAATAGCTATAGTAAAATTGTCGGAATGACCATGAATTCAGTTTTACAGTTTCCTGAAATTCTACACACCTTTCGAACCACTTAGTCAAACAACAGTCTTCTCCATTTTCCGTCACACCATCATTTCAGCATTGAATCGGACTTCATACTAAGTCATCCGAACTGCAATAGGAGTACCCGAATGCTTCAAGAGATGTATAAGCTGGTATTTTGGACGTAGTCCAATCTTGAACACTAGTTGTTGTTCACAAAAGCCTCGATCACATGTTAAACCTGCATCATTCAGAAGAATAAGCATGATAAACTCACTGATTATGTCAAACGTGATCAACGAATGATTCATTTACACTCTCATAATGTTACTCTGAACAATTCAATGGAGCAAATGAAAACAGCAAACATTAATCATCAGACATTTATATCTGTGTAACCACAGAAAAAGTGTTTCTTGTCAAAGTGGTAACGAAGTTCGATGTAACTTATTTGTCAAATTGAGCACGGACGAAAATATTTTCTATATGTGTTTATATTGTGTAGTGTTTATAGGTATTTGATTTATAGAATGAACTAAGAATCATGGCAATAACGTAGTAGGATGAAGATTTACTAGGTAACCACAAACGATTGTACTGCATTTCGAATTCGTAATCAAGCATGAAACTAGTACAAATGTATCATTAGTTCATTTGAAAACCACATCCGCAACAACTCAAATTCTATTCAGCGTGTCTGTATTCAATTGTACGTCTTCTTCTCAAGTTCATCCTGTGTCTTTCGGACGGTGTATTGGATAAGGATCCTGCGTTATCAAAAATGTGCTCATCAGCATTAGAGTTGACAACCCAAATTAAAACTGACTCATCTGGTTCCTGATATTGCATTTGATTAACACTTCCATTGTGTGTACTTAAGTCATTGATATCTAGAGTTCGCACCACCGATTTCACGACATTCTTCAGAATAATCCCTGTATATGGTGGACGATCATTTCCTCGATAATATGTAACTTCTGAGGACACCAAATATCTCATATTCAACCAAAGAACTCTTTCTTTAAACAGCTTCGATGGAGTTTCTTTCGTCACCAAATGTCTGGCATTTCTATATTGCAGTAGAAAGACATCTACTCCCCTCCCCAGCTCATTATACGTCGAGGCGGCAATAGAATCAATAGCATTTTTCAATGTCCTGACAAAAGTTTCTGCCTCACCATTAGAACAAGGATGTTTGGGAGCAGCAAACAGATGTCTGCACCCTATGAGAGCCATTATTGGTCACTAACACCGTAGGAACACCTTCTCGACTAAACAACTTTCCTAATGCTTGCATTGTGAAAGCAGAATTTGTTGAGGTTGTGAAAAAAATTCAGGCCACTTTGAAAAAGAATCAAAAATTACTAATGCATAGCGTTTGCCAAGAAAATGACCACAATAGTCAGCGTGATGACATTTTTCACAATTGTTTGCCGTACGACATATATCTGCATTTATCTCTGGCCACCAACATGTGAACCTTGCCAAGGACTTCATTTTCTCAACACCTAAGTGACCACTATGAAGATCTTCAAGAACAGATTTACGCAATGAAGGAAGAATGACAACACGATCATTTGAACATAAAATACCATCAGGAGTAGTGGATAGCTCATCCCGCTTCGAAAAATAAACAGGAAATCTACGTTTCAAATTAGCACTCCAACCTTTTCGTATAGAACTGAGTATACATCCAAAATATCTGCGAGTTTCTCTAATGAGATCTGGACGTCTCACTGGTAAAGGTTGCACTAACAAACAGTCCGAAGTATTAATAGGTCTATCGTGTAATGACTGTCGAGAAATGTAGTCAACGTGTTGAATTTGTTTGGCACTTCTGTGCTGAACCGTATAGTCATATGCACTCAAAGCAATACTCCATCGTTGAACCATAGTAGCTGAGAAACGTGCTAAGGATTTTTTCAGGATGATAAATAAACTTTAGAGCTTCATGATCCGTAGTAATAGTGAATTTCTTTCCGAATGAATATTTATGATGTCGTTTAACAGCCCAAAACACAGCCAAAGCTTCTCGCTGAGTCTGTGAATAACCTTGTTCAATAACAGTAATTTTGCGTGAAACGCAAATAACTGATCTGCTTTCCTGTTCTAAAAATTGCGACAATACCCACATGTGATGCATCAGTGAAAAGCACAGAATGTACACTAGGGGAGTAAGTTAGAAGTACAGCATCACTTTGAAGAAACTTCAGTAGACTTCGTAAGCACAACTCCTGCTCCTCACCCCATTTGACTGAATTGGATGTCAAAATATTAAATAAACAATTTGCACGACAAGAAAAATTAGGAACAAAACGGGAGTAGTAATGAAGAGCATCCACTAGTGAACGTAGTTGTGTAAGATTTTTTGGAGATGGTGCATTTGTCAGTGGAGCTAGTCGTTTCATGTCTGGTCTAAATCCATTACCATCAACTAGGTACCCAAGACATTCAAAACTGGATACACAAAATAAACACTTATTTGGATTCACTGTAATATTCTTCTCAATTGAACGACGTAATAAAGCAATAAGTCTCTCGTCATGAACTACCTTATCAGGACCATGAACAATGAAATCATCTTGATAAACTTCAACACCTTCAAGATCATTAACTACTTTATTCATAAATTCCTGAAATATGGCTGCACAACAACTTAGACCAAATAGTCGATTGATATAAAGCGACTTGAAGATAAGCATCTTTTAGGTCAACATTCGAGAACACTTTAGAACCATAAAGTCGATTTAGAATATTTTCAGCCTCTACTGTCGTACACGTCTGCCACAACAAACGGGAGTTCAATGTTAATCTATAGTCACCACATATTCTAAGTGTCTTGCCGTCCGACTTCAGTGGCGTAACAATAGGAGCACCACATGCTGAAGACTGAATCGGTTCAATTATGCCTTTCGCACACAAATCCTTTAAAGTCTTATGCACTGCTTCTCGAAGACCATGAAAGACTGGATCACTCTGTATTTGAAGTTTTGTAGTCTGAATTTTCATACTTCGACTGCACTTAGTACACATAGCTATCAAATCCTTAAGTAGAACATCAGAATATTCTTTAGAGACTAGGAAAGACAACTCCACTCAGGGCCTTTTCAAATTCCTTAAGCCCAGTATTGACATTCCTGTTTCGCTAACTTAACTTTCACAAGGTATGTATGAAGAATTATCATCTCTTATCAGCGATTCACAACATCCTCGTATGGGCAGTCCGTGTTCATTAATCCCCAAAACTGATACTTCAGTGGGTCGTGCCACAACGTGAGGATCAAAAGATTTCAAGTTCTTGAATGAAATATTGAACTCTATACTGCCTGTGTCCACAATAAATTCATTAACTGAACCAACCGATGTATATAATCACTTTTGAATATGAGCGTTACCTTTCGAAATAGTAGAAATATATAAATGATCGGTAGAAACATCCGAATTGTTGAGATTTCAATTACAAGATTTAGTACTACTTGATGTAAAATGGACAGTAACTTTGCATACTGACTGAATGTGTCCTATCTTACCAAATTTAAAACATTTAGCATTAAGAAATGCACATGAATTACGAGAATGAAACTTTCCGCATGATCAACACTTACCAAACTTGATCTCACCTTTGTGGCTTGTTATATAATTCCTTGTTGAAACACCTTTCATATTTACACGCGAATAGGAATCACTGTTAAAAGAACGCAAGTTTGATTTACCCTGAGGTTGTAGTTCATCGTGACGACTAAACAAAGTATTAGAAATCTTCATCTACTGGATATCAAGTTCACTCACTGCCTCGTAGTTAATACACGCAGATCTAGCATCTTGAAAGAAACAGTTCGGAATTCTTAACAGTTCTCTTCCCGAACCCGCTATGTTAATTCCTACAATTAATCGATCTCAGTTACACATGTAATTGATCACCGAAATTACATTTGACAGCTTGTTTCTGCAATTCAAGGATGAATTCCCTAACTTTTTGTTCATTTCGACGAATCATCTTATGAAATTTCGCCCTCTCACGGCATTTGAAACTAGTGCACTTTACATTATTTAACGCTAGCTCCTTGAGAGTTGCATAAGGAAGTGAGATAGGTTTTTCTGGATATGCCAAAAATTTTAATATGCTGTACGCTTCTCTTCCGATGAATTTCAGGAAATGTGCCACAATTTTATCACATTCAACATCTTTCTTAGTCATGCTCCAGATTTCAAACCTTTCCAAATAATCTTCAAAAGATTCAGAAGTTGAATGAATACCTAACTGTTCCATCGCAGGCTCCATCGCGACGCCAATATGATAATTAGAAGTATTTGAACTATAGTGTGAACTAAGAATCCCAGCAATAACGTAGTCGGATCAAGAAGTACTAGATAACCACAAACGGCTATACTGTATTCAGAATTCGAAACCAAGCTTGCAGGAAGTAGAAAGATATCATTAGTTCATTCAAACACCATAAATTGATATTTTCACAGTAACAAAACTTGATGAAAAATAAAAAAAATAGACGAATAATCACAAAATCGGCTTAATAGTCCTCGTGCTATAAAACGGTCGTAAACCGAAAAAGGAAATATAAAGAGTTTAGGAGAACAATGACCAGCATTCACAAATGCTTCGAAAAGAAACAATAAAAGTCAAGCAATCATGTCAAACATTGCATATGACCATTGTCATGTAACTTAACACTGTTTGAAGGTCAACAGTTCACTAGACAAGATTCCTTTCGTTGACCTTATTCTTATAAGTTTAGATCACGGTCTGTAAGCGTGAAATTGTTCCGAATTGTCAAACGCATTTAAAGAAATCACGTTTTTTCTGTGATCTCATTTGTTATTCGTTAGTAAAATATCTATAAAAGAGAACTGTGCTAACCACTGTATGATACTTATACATGATATTGTCCTTGATTGACAATCATCTAAACTCAAGAACCCCGTGAACATGTTGGTTGTGGATAATGCTGATGGAAGACATTTTGATTCCACATATCATTGTCTATCTCTCCACCCAATACATGCAGAAGCGCTAGCAATCCCAACTTTATTGCGGTCAAAGAAATCATTCATCATGTTGATTGTGTTAATCCTTTCGTTTATGTTAGTCGATGATGCTTCAGCACTGAGCAGGTCTAATTTTTTTGAATTCGATTCAGCGTATACAAGTATGTATATTTCAATTAATTTTTATTGTCTTTTTGACCTAATGACTGAAGATCTATTACCAGTGTCATTATCCTTACGATGCAGTAGCTTAAACATTGAAACAACGTAAATATTTTATCGCGTGACTAGAAATATTATAAATAGAGTGCTCTTTAATCATTAGCAGCCTCGTTGAATGGAGATCTGCGATTTAATATTTTATCCATATGATTAACAAATTAACGATTCTTATGCTATGTCACGTACTCACTGTAAACAGCGGAAGGTGGTCGCCCAATATCGTGGATGGAGTGAGGTGGGTCTAAAGCACCGTTCGATTCCGGTCCAGTGGTCTAGAGATCATTCTTTCGATAGCATGACTGAATTACCTCAGTTTGATTCTCATGGATAGGGTTGTGGATGTAAAATCCTGAAATGCTCATTGTGAAAATACCCGAAGCACACGAAATGTTTATTTTTTTCATGTACCCTATTTTGTATAATGCAACATAGTTCGTGAGCGATTAACAACAACGCAAATTACAAATACATCAATCACATATTAGTTTCAGTTGTTTTTGGCACAAGATACACCAAAATAAATTTGAAAAAGCTCAAATGACTGGTTTTACTGAAGGTGTATAATATAAATAAACTTGGTAGAGGAAGATGCTTCATTTTCATCTGGATTATAGTACGATCTAACCGTGAACTGAGTTGACTATCTCCTTGTTGTAGTGAACAATGTTGTGTGAACAGTGTTCACTCATTGATTAATACCGATTCATGAACAATGCTTATTCTCCTTCGAACGTTTGTTTTAGATACGTTAACTACTAGTGCAACTGAAAATATCGGCGATGACAATAATGTGTCGATTCATTCATCAGAGGATTTTAGATTACCACGCACATTGTTTCCACATCTCTACGATTTGTCAATTCAAGTCCATTTGCATGATAACAAGTCACAAGCATTTTTCTTCAATGGATCTGTGACAATAAAAGTTTTCTGTAATGTGTCGACAACCGAGTTCTTCGTACATGCAGCCGATAATCTGAATGTGAGCTTGGATCAAATCCATGTAAGCTATAGTTTTCAAACTGACGTTTATTGGAAAATAATCCGTTCTTTGAAATGAGTTTAAACTCAACTGGCAAACTCATATAATGGAAGAGTCTACAACAAAATTAAAAATTCACCTACATTTCTGTCATCATTTGTATGAAAAGTATCCTTCATTTCATTAACTTTTTTAATTTGACTGTTTTTCAATAAAAACTGGTTCCTAATCGGAATACCTCGCTGAAGTAAATAAATTGACATTTTGATAAGTTGTAAGTGGACATTCAAATGTCTTAAGCAAGTAAACTTGGAAGTCAATAACATCGTGTGAGTGAAGCAATAATTTATTTGTCTCTGTCAACCGAATTTTACATGATCGACCAAATGTCTACCACGTATGTGATAATAATATGACTGTTGAAAGTTATTATCCATCATTAACTGAAATTCAGAACATAGATGAAGTTTATTCAACAAAATGTGTTTTCAGAATCATCGTTTATAATGCTTTATTTGACAGTGATTCAAACAGAATTTTGACTAGACTGAAGTTCAAGTAGAAATTCGCTTCTGATTAATTTTCAATTATATTGTAGTGAACAAAAACACCAGTGGGGACAATCGAATGTTTTAGCTAGGAAATCACAGAACCTGTTATTAAATTTGCAAAATGACCATCAATTGTCCCAAAATGACTCAGACCTCATTGTTCTTGCATTTTCAAACAAATTGCCTTCTGTTTCCATTATTTACTGTTCGATCCACCAGTCTCTCTGCTACCAGACATTCTGTTCCTGATTGTCATCATATATTGCTTATGTCAACATAAGTAGAACACACCACAATATGATCCAAGTCAGAACACAATTACATCATTGTATTTCTCAAATTATTTGAAAACAACTTGCAAGTAAATTTGTACGCAAGGAAACAAAAGTGGCAACTACTTAAACGTAAGATGTCAACTAAAAGTTATTTTACTAAAACAAAAAATATCATATACACGAAAAAAACTCATTTTTAAACAAATTAAGCGCCACTAACCTAAGAAATTTGAATTTATTCAAGGGGTCAACCAATTGATTTTATCAGATAGCATAAGATTCTTTAATGACTCACATGAACTAGGTGCTCAAATATTGTGAAACCATTCGTTCAAATTTAGACGAAAGTTCTTATTAAGCATAAGATTCTACATTCAAGATCCAAAACGGATCCCTTGAAAATGCCAAAATCACCGCTTTTTTAATAGTTCAACTGAGAAACACATTAAAGACTAAATCCACTTGGTATTTTTTTAACTTGGATGTTCCCATTGATGTTTACAACTTCAATTGATCATTCTCTTATATGCACATATACATAATGTGCGTATTGTATGGATATTGCATGAATCCATGAACATTATAAGCAAGGATGGATAGTGACTAGCAGTGGAATTCCGGACGCACGTTTGTCTTATTCGGGACTCGTCAGCTGGATGCACCGTCCACCAGCATTCCTCATCCAACTGTGTCATAAACAATCCTTTCCAGTTCTTTCCACTTCCTATTCATCCAGTCAGTGCTTTCTTCTAATACTTGATTCAGTGTGTTATTTGGTCTTCCTTTCTTCAGTTTCCATTCACAATTCCAAATTAGTACTTGCCTCGTGATGAAGTTTGGTGATTTACACAATATATTTTCTATCCAATCACGACGTCTTTTCTTAATTTTCTGTCCACTTGGAAACTAGTTTGTTATTCATTTTATCTGGACAAACAATATTAAGTACCTCTTGAAGATAATTGTTCATAAATGTTTGTGCTCTTTTGATGATGGCTGTGATAGTTATCCAATTTTCAGTTCAGTGCAATAAGACTGTTTGGATGATCTGTCCAGGTTGGTTCAATGTGTTTCACTGGGTCCGAATATCACTCCTCATTTCCGTAGCTATTTAGTCAGTTCTCCCGGCCTCCCCTATTGTCCATACATTCCATGTAACTATACTAATAGTTGCTCTGGTTGCAGGAAGGTAAATAGGCCTCGTGCCTTCTGAGGAATCCCGGTTTTCACCATGAGGCATCCTAACTCTTCTAGTTAAATATCCCTAAACTTGGAGGCCAGAGTTTAAATGGTTCAAATGATGATTCTGTGTAGTCATGTTTTACCAAGGTTGATTTCTGTGGCACGTGGTGGCTAACGTTATAACTCACACTCCTCATTTATCCGGATTCGCAACGAGGAGGAATCCTAAAAGAGCTACAGACAGAAATATTTATTGCTGAACATAAGAGATTTTTGTTCGTATTATTCTTCTTCTTTCACATTAGAGAATCCGACTCTCTACATAAACGGAAATAAAATACCAACTATTCAAAATGTGAATTTTCTTTGTGATCGAATATAAATATTGTGACTTTACAATGATTCCCGTCTCTGCTTTTTGAAAACAGATGTCTCCTCTTCATGAAAAAAATCAAACAAGTTCTTATATTCAAATAGACGAAGTTCATTATATTGAATATGCTGAGTGTTATCGAATTAAACTCAAAACGCCTTTGCAACCATATACTTATTACAACCTGACATTTGGACAGTTTCGTTCTGATATGGACTATGATTCTGATGGACTGTATATTATCAAATATTTGGAAAATGGGATTTACAAGTGAGTCTCGATTTAAGACATATATGTGCAGATTTATTTGGTATCGAGTACCAACACAATGGTGACCGCAAATAACACAATCATTTGCATACATGCTTGAACAGTGATGATCAACACTTAACAATCACTTCACAATACACGTTTATTTGCTCACTGTGTTTTGGTTAGAGATGCATTTATTCAGTGCTAACTCGACAATGAAAATTCTTCTCTAGGAACACAATGTGTGTCTACTGATGTGTGAAATGTCCTGTAGTCATCATATCGTAACTATGATCAGTATTATTACATGGTTTACAATTCCATTTGGTTTTCCATAGAGACATAAATACCGATAACTAATAATCTTTGGAAGGTTTAGAAAGACTGGTGAATTTTCGCTGCCTTATCAATATAAAATAATAAATGTGGATTATTCCAAATAGCGTATAAACGTGACGATAACAAATTCACAAGTCATCGAACATGAGTCAAAACTTTTCACGTCAACGAAAATATGATTGTGTAGATGTACTGAGCAACACAGTGAATGACACAATGACTTACCGAAGTAAGTAGACCATATGAATGGTAACTCGTCAGAAATCACAGGTAACATGTTGGGCAGGATACTTCTTTCGGGACGGTTCTCTCCGTTCGAAAGCACATTTTTAAGCAACAACTATCGGAAATGAGATATGTACTTGTAAACAAATGTTCACCGTTATACATATATTTCAGATATTTGGCAAGTACTTACATGGAGTCAATTTATGCAAGGAATGTATTTCCATGTTGGGATGAGCCGGAATTTAAAGCAAATTTCAAGGTATGATATATTTGACCTTTATTTCATTTTCATAATTTTCCGTATGATTTGTGATCTGTTGTGAATCAGAGTCAGTTTAATAAAATGCAAAATTATTGAACCAAGTGATGCTTCGTGATTTAAATGTTGTGTGTGTGATATGCGAACACGTGATCGATGATAGTGATGAGCTTAGCATATGTCAGTCATGTTACGAAACACATTATTGGTTAAATTGATTAAATCGGTTCATGACCTCGTTTTACCAACACACTTCAAAATTTGATGATGTATATCATATTGTTTAAAGGCAACTGGTTATCTGTTAAAAGGCACATATACTAAAACCGATGTACAATGTTCTTATGAGAATTTACTGGAATTAACCCGGTCGAATACAAACAGCGACAATTTGAAATAACGTATTCTCTTCCTGAACGTTAGCGTATATAATGACAGCAATAGATTTCTTGCACTAAATCAATGTACAGAATTGAGTTACAATACTCCCTACCATCTACATGTTACCACAAAGCTCTCCATAAACCATGATTAGGTAATCAGTGTTAATAAGTCTTAAATGGGAGCATATTTTTATTTGTTTCATTACTTATGTGTGACGAAAACTTCAGGTGAACATCAGGCATTCGCAGATGACACTCAAGATCATATGAACATATAGCCTATTCAGTATGCAACATGTTTCAGTCAGACAACAAGTCCACGATTGTCTAATGATTAATCCTTCACGTCAGTTAGAAAATTAGTTACACATGAGTTAAGGATTTCCATGTGGTTATGTGATATATTGCTAAATAAGCACGATAAGAATCTTGAATTGTTTCAATTGGTTAGACATGCCACTTATTATTCGAGAACAAATTTCTCACGTTTGTGTCTTTCAGGTCAATATTGTACGCGACAAAAATTTCCGTTCGCTTTCAAACATGAATTTGGAAAGTACGGAAGTGTTGTACGATGATTGGCGTGTCGACAGGTATGACACCAGTGTGAAAATGTCCACATATCTGTTGGCATTTGTAGTTTCGCAGTTTTCGAATATTCAGAGGACAGACAATAGAGGACGAAACGTGAGTGTTATCAATTACACAAAAGTTTTTGTAACTCTCCATGAAATACTTTTGTAATGTATCGAAATCACGTATATCCAGGAAGAACCACCATGAGATTGCATGCAACCGATTATTCGAGACGGTTAGGGATATACATAGATCCACGTTACATACATACCAGTACTCAATGTGAAGCAGTAGCAGTTCCTCGATGTTTCGAAGTTATGTGAACACGCTTGCAACACCACAGTGATGATAGAAACTAAAACAGAACACCTGAATAGAGGATGTTCCATTCAAGTATTCAAAAGCACAAGTATTGTTTGATGGTACGAGCCATTGTTTTAACAATGCTGAGTTCTCTGTGTTTCAATCAAATCAAAGTGGTTGAATCACTCGTGACACTGAAAACAGTCTCTTCTATCAGATTGTAGCAATAATGACTTGAAGTTCATTAAAGTTTTTCATAAGAATGATTCATTTCTGGATAAAATAATTCTTTCATTTAGTTCACTGTTTGGGCAAGACCGGATAAAATTCGATCAGCTGAATATGCACTTGATATTGGCATAAAATTATTGGGATACTTTGAAGACTATTTTGGCATTCCCTATTCACTTCCTAAAATGGGTAGGTATTTCACACAAATGTGTTTACGTTTAATATATGTGTAATTAAATACTGTACAATGTAAACTATGCAACCAAACAATAAGGTCTAAATAACTGAAAGGGATGCATGATCAACCAAATCCAATTTTAGTTTAATTACGCTAATTATATTTTGAACTGGAGTGGACTGAATCATAATAAATATATTCAGTAAATAAATAATACATTTGTAATATTCCAATGGGTAGAAACATTAAATTTTCTGATATATCGTGACTCAATGTAAGTCACTTCTTCAGAGAACAAATAACCACATCCAAAACGAAAGTATTCAGCCATTTAACTGGGGTAAATATTTGCATACATATTGATGTGCATAAGTATTCCTTTTTATTAGGCATGCACAACAGTGTATGTACGTATATATGTATTTATATAGGTATATTTGTATGTACGTATGTATGTGATTAGAACCGTTTACATTTGCAATATATCTTCCATCATGTTTTCAGATATGATTGCGATTCCTAACTCTTCAATAACGGCAATGGAAAACTGGGGTTTGATCACTTATGATGAAAATAAAATGATATGGGACGCAGAAAACGGTTCAGTAAATACCCTACTTGAAGTGACTTTTTCTGTCTCACATAAAATTGCTCATCAGGTATGCTTTTAAACGAAGAACGAAATGTTAAACTCACTTTATATCTCTTTAATTTAAAGATCGTTCGGATAATAAACTTACACTACTTGGAAAACGAACGAAAACTGATACATTGTGGTTTTCGACTGCAGCAATGACAACACACAGGATATCTGAGATTTCTGGCTAGCTAGTTTTGTTTACTGCATTAAGTTGGACTGTAATAATACAGGTTTCTAAATCTATTCATTTGTTGTTCATTGTTGATAGATGTGTTAAGTAAAATAATTATTCTAATAATTCAAGCGATTTCTTAAATGTTTGTTGCTCATTCATCACCTCATATGTCATTATTACCCAAATTCGGTTTACTGACAAGCCGAGTCACTATTTTCGCTATTTTACATGTGGTTATATTGTAAATATAACACAATTACTGCTCCTATGTAATCATTTCTCACAAGTTGTAGTTGAACTCCATGAGTTACTCATTTTCACTACACCATTCAGAATTCCTTTGCAACTAGGATTCAGGAACGGAATATAAGATGTCATCAAAATCTACAAGAATCATTTTTAACAATATAAGTTTATGACCTCATGTAAATATCGAAATCGATTGAACAATCCAAATGTGTTACGTCTATCAGCTTTCAGTTTAAACACATTTCTTTCAGTGGTTAGGAAACTTGGTGACAATGAAATGGTGGGATAACTTGTGGTTGAACGAAGGCTTCGCAACATTTTTCGAATACATCGGAGTACAGTTACTACATCCTGAGTGGAAAGTAGTAAGTTGAGTGTTTTCTTTGAGGATATTATCAGTTCGCTGTTTCATTTTGCACATGTCGCTTGTCATTTCATAAATGTTTTTCATAGAACATGTACATGCTGCATAGAAGCGGGTATTTATAGACGAAGTTTTGCATCGCTGAACACCACACACACAGAATGTTTAGCAAATTACATAAATTCTTAAAATTTAAGATTTATTCGAACTCCATCTCATTCATCCAGAAAGGTAATTTGACTTTAATTCAAGTAGTGAGCATTGTTTGAATTCACTCTGTAATGATAAGGAAGAATTTAATCAGTTTTCAGATGGCGCTTGAAGAATTCACAAATACTGAGATAATTAACGACCCTTCACTAAATAATGGCGAATGTTTGAACAAATCTAGTACACATTATGATTATATTCTGGATAATATTTTTATCAATAAAGATTATCTTTTTCTTCGATGAATAGGATGAACTATTCATACTGAATGAATTGATGCCTGCACTTGATATTGATACTTCGATGAAATCAAGACCAGTCATTTATCCAGCTAATACTACAATACAAATCATAAGCATGTTTGATTCAATCACCTATGATAAGGTCAGTTCTGTATTGGCTGTTGACTTTTTCAAATGTTGTATTTTAGTTTTCTGAAAATTGAAACATTGTGTTTGAGAACACCATATATGGATGAGCATTATTGCTTTCAAATAGATCCCTGTCGGATTTGACTCTAATATACAACAATATTTATAAGGATGTACAAAATTATTGAACCAATCAAGGGAGTCGATGAGTCAGGGATAACAGTGGAGTAGATTACACAAATAAACATAATAATTAAGGAGAACGAATTAATGGTGTGATGACAGGTGCACTAGTTGTGATAAGAATATGAAAATCTAGAATCTATGCTTCATAATTGGAAATAGGCAGATGACTTGAAAAATATAGATGCTGAAATAACGTTCATGAAAGCTGTCACATCACGCAGTTATACGCTTTCAGATAATTGGACAATAAGGCATATATTTAAGAAATAAGTGAGCAGGGAGGTGGAGAAAAATAAACGATCAATGAATATGCAAAATAATAGTGAGTAAAATCTCTTAATGATCCTAATTCAGCTAAGGAAGAGTCAAGGCTGTTACAAATTTCTGTTGACAGCTAGTTTCAGTAGAGGTTCTAGGATTCCAACTAAACATCTTGATATTGAGAAACTCGTTATTCATAACAATTTCAACACATTTCTAATTAGTCATAAATAATGCTGTGTAACTGATTGATGTATCCGAATATTTGAGTACACTCCTGACATTCGAAATCATGAAGTTCATCATTCTCTCATATTTGCAATTAACAGAATTGTGTACGTTTTAAGATGATTACACAACAAAATTTCCGTGATGTTTAAGCTTGAGCTTAATATCTAGGTTAAGACTACAAAAACGAGTATTTTATTTACACGATAGAAAACAGTCACCACCTGAATGATTGCATAACATTTGTTAGACCAAGTAAATGAAACGATCCACGCGTAATTGTAATTCTCCAAAGTTCTTACGTGAATTAATCAAACAATAGTACACGGTCATGTTCCACTTTGTGTGAATGCATTATAATGCGAAAGTGTTTAGTGTTTGACGATGTGACATATTCTATTCAAAAACAATAATATTCCTAAGTGCATCTTGACTTTGTTATCCATTTGGAATGAAATAATTTGTTTCCTGCCGTCTGCCGGACCCAAGTAAACTGATTGACCAATCTAACTTACCTACACATTCATCTCGTATTTCATGTATAATAATATTCTAAATTGCATTAACAGGGCGCCTCTTTGGTTTGGATGATGGAGAAATTCATGGGCCGTAGTGCGTTTCAAAACGGTTTAAAAGTACGTTGACAGTGGTTATTTTGTTGTAACTGAGTATCATATAATCTAGTCTCAACGGTCACATTCAATGGTGAACTGATTTCTTTTCGTTGACTAAGTATTTTCAAAGTTCTCTTCGAGACTTTCCAATACGCAGAGTCCTCATATCATTTGCTTAGCTATAACTCAGTATGACGTAACTTAGCAGAACCCAGTAATGATTGATCATAACAGTCTTCAACACAAGTATTCCTTGGAACGTTATAACAAGTTTTTATCAACAGGCACTCTACTTAATAAAAAACTTGAACTCGTATGTCGTCATGAACAAATGGAAAATGCTTTTAAAATTAAATGTTGTCTGTCCAACTCATAAACCATATTCATTGTAGCTAAATCAGTGAAATATTTTATATCATCGGTGTCAATGTCGTTACAAACAAATTATGCTAAACAGACTTCACTCACCATTATATCTGATAGATCGTTGGTTGAGATTGTATCCCACCTAATTATGTACAGTATATCTGTCACCATTGGTCGTCACTTGCACTAATGTGAGTGAATATTTCTGAATATAAAATCGGTTTGGAAAATACAAAATTTATTTTGGAGTACTTTTATCGTGATCATTTCAAAAGTTTAGTGTTAATAATAATAAGAGAGATCAGTGTATGTGACATTTTGAAGGACACTAGTCGAACGATCATCCATTAAATCGTTGTGTTTATTCTCCATTCATATATAGTCAATGAATTGCTGCTTGATATTTTATTCATAAACATATATAAATATATATATATATAGCTTGATCATAATTTTACTGAAAAGTGTCCATTGGCTGAACTTCTCGTTTTTAATGGTCTAACAGCCATGTGAAAGGGACATTAGTATACTACAACAAAACCGAATCAGTGATAAAGAACACCGACAATAACTGATTTGTGGATTTTAGATGGTAAAGTTCGGTTATTTCTATGGCGTTCAACAACCACACTTCAACATGAATCTTATTTTGATTGTGGGTGGTATTCTGAAAGAATGCAGAGACACAACACTGAGCTGTAATGTGTTCTGTCTAAGCTTAAATCCTATGATTAAATTCATGATAACTTGCAAATTGAAATCCAGAAATGTCTTATATAATACGTTTTTCTGTGTTTGTTTAAGAGATATTTAATTCAAAACCAATATAAGAACACAGATGAAAAGGATTTATGGAAGGCATTATCTGAAGTAAGCATTTGGTGATTATTACATCAATACAAAAACATTTTGTGTAATGCATTTTGTTGTTGAGTTCTTTGCATAATTTCTCCTGATCGTCACACATTTTGTTATTACTGAAGAGAATTATTGCCTTGAAATAGATTTCAAAAGAGATCAAATATTTATGGTATCATCTAATGAATAATTCCGTGATTCAAATTCCTATGTACTATCTGTTCTCCCACACTGTTTCTACATATTCTTTGTTGTTATTCTGAAAAGACACTAGACTATATGGTAGCAGTAGTTGAATTTTAATACATTGATTCATTCCATCGATTGTAATTACAGTGGTAGAACCTCAATAATCAGTTTGCGTACGTGATCATGCTTGAGCATGCTGCATTAAATTATTACTACACCTACTATATTCCCAACAAATGAACTTATAGTGAATGGTCTTAAACAATGAGTGAATTTAACTGTATTTCATTCAGTTATATCCACCACTATCCTCGAAACACGCCTCAGATCAGTGCAACACAAAAGCATTTGCGATGCTGTAATCTTATTTATTAAAAGTATAAGGCCAATAACCTAATCAAAATTTCGTTTTAATTGGAAATTAGGAATGGAATACTCAAGGAAATCATTTGGACATTGGATTTATTATGGATTCATGGACTAAACAAAGGAATTATCCACTAGTGATTGTAAAGAGAAATGGGTCGAATGTGTTCAGTTTTGAGCAGATACGTTACTTTCAACACCATGGTAACAATTCATCTCAAACAAATCATGAGTAAGTGAACTATATATTAATTTAGACAATGTCCGTATTCAGGGATTGTATATGAAGAAAAGTGAGTTTGTGATGTATGCAACATTTGTTATCGTGTTGAGTGATACTGGTGTCGATAGATATAATTAGGACGTACCATCAAGTGAAAGTGAATGCCTGGGAGCGGAATGTTACCAAGATCGAAGAGAACAGAGAATGATTAGTTTGAAAATGAAGAAATAATGAAGTTTGAGACAATTGATTGACATTTCGCAAGTGAATTATTTGCTGTATCGCTCTCATTACATTTTCAATAGGTTATCTTAAATCATTGCCATTTTCCAACTTATATGACGAGATAAAAAGGCGAAATCAAGTTTGACTCATTGTGATTTTCGAACAACATATCTTTCGTTTCTTAATAGGTGTATTATTGTTTTAATTTTCCAGTGTAATATTTTATTCGACATAACAATAATTTGTTTCAGCGTGGTGTTCATTCAAGATACGATATACTCGTATGAAATTAAAATAACCTCTGCTCAACATGAAATGTAGCATGTGATTTGTTGAACTTCTCTGTGTTGTTCGTTCATGTGATTTTATTCAAATCGTTAAACGAAATGGGCGTACGATCAATGTATGGTGAATGTCTTTTCGACTACGATCGTTGTTATATTTTCGGGTTAATTGATCTTCGAGTTCGCCGATCCCGGTGTTTGTAATTCGTGTCGTGGCCTCTCGTTTTCTTAAGCATTCGGTAACATGGATATAACGATTATGTATGAGGGTTTCGGAAAATTGACAGTGAATGTGGAAACCTCCATGTACCTGGACATCATCATCGATAACCAAAGAGGGCTTGGTGCAGACATTTGGGCGAGGGTTGGCAAAACAAGGACTACGTTCTTATAGTTGAAGTAAATATGGGACTCCGAACAAATGTATGTAAGCAAACATCATGGTCAGAATGTTGAATACAAGCGTCGAAATAGTTCTGTTGTACTGAGCGGAAACGTGGAGAACTACCAAACCATCATCAAAAATGTACAAGCATTTGTTAACAGTCGTCTGCACAAGATGCTCACTGTCCGTTGACCAAATACAATCAGCAGCACTTTACATCGGGAGACAACAAACCATCATTCAAATGAAGAGGAAATTGGAGACAAGATTTCGGAGGTGCATAGGACATACCTGGTAGTAGATTAAACTAACGGATATTCCTATCTACTTACATTTGAAATCCAACTTCACCTCTATCGATCAACTAGCATTATCAACATGTGTTTTGTTATGGTACTCGATCAAACTTCCTGTTTTTTGATTATTATATTTATAGTTTGATAGCTTTTAATGTTCATTATTATACGCTTTGATTCATTCAGATACTCCTGGAGAATACCGATCACTTATGGGTCGGCACAAACGATGAACTGGACAAATGTCGATATTGTGTGGATGGTGAACAGTAAGAAATAACATTTTGCCATTTTCATTAGTATAAATGATTATTATGCTTCACATACCTGTACATACTTTGCGTCCCATTCTGAGGCTAGATAGTCGGTTTGACGAGCCTTCCTCGACAATGAGAACATGGTTGTCCTATCCAACATGTGTAGTACTAATTTATACTGAGTCATGTTTCTAACCTTACATAGAAGAAAACGTTTATCGTCTCTTCAATATTAAATTGATGAGGTGAAAATAATTACTTAAACTCCACGCACTCATTCAGCTTTAACTGTTTAAATCATAATAATAATATAATAAAAATATAATTAATATTATAATATTAGTGACTTATTTGATTATTCCTCGCTTCCACAAGAAAAATTGAATCAAACAATGAACATAAGCTCAGACGACTGGTACTTGGTGAATGTAAACCAAGGCGGATTTTATCGGGTTCACTACGCTGACAATAACTGGATCTTATTAATCAATCAATTGCAAAGGAATTTCACGGTTTGTTCAAAACACTTGTGTTTCTCTCAGTCATAAATAACTATTCTATCAAATATTTTAAATATAATCTTGTTAGTACCATGTAAATTAATGAATAAGCATAATTATGAGGATAAATTTTGTAGAATGTGATAAGCGATACAAGATATTTCAATATAAACTAGTGAGGATGGATCTTCATTCATTGTGAATATCCAACTTTAATCATTGTCTTAAAGTGAATTCATATGAAACACAGCACCTCTTAAGTCAGACGGCATGACCATTCAACAATTAAACGTATGAGACCACATGTAAAATAACTTTTTGTCATTTGACATAAGGACGCTCTAACGTAATTAAATATTTAAATATTTACTTACCTACTTGATTATCTACTTACTTACCTACTTACTTATATAATTGCACACTGGATTTCTGTCGCCTGACAATACGTGAAACAGCTTAGGCTGCCAACTAGGATTCTCCAAACTATTCTATCCTAGCCTCCTTTCCAATCGTCAAAAATCGTTTTTCAATTCTTCGATATGTCTCGAATTCTCGACGCAACATGTTCTTTGGTCTTCCTCTGTACCTCTTGCCTTCTGGATTGTCTCGAGATTCAGTCTGATGGTTAACGCAACGCTTGTCGTACCCACCTCCAACGGCTCGTCGTGTTTTCACATTCAGATGGAAGTTAGTTTGTTCGCTTTCACAGTGTGTTGCTGTTGATGGTATCTGGTTAACCGATATAGAGCGTTTTGTTCGGACAACTGTCTATGAACACATAAACCTTTTGATGATGACTATGGCAGTTCTGCAATTTTCAGCTCAGTACACTAGAACCGTCTCGATGTTTGTACTGAAGATTCTGTATTTGACTCATATGTCTTCCACTGTAGGAGTAGTGCTGTTACTTTGCCAATCCTTGCCTCTGCTTATACCGCACATCCTCATAGTTCATTGATGGTTCTTCCCAGATATGTGAATTTTTCCACCCCTTCCGGAGCTAATCAATCAAGTGTGATTTGGTTGGTTTTCTCCATGACTCATTTGAGGATCTTGCTTATTCTTTTGTGAGTGTTGAGGCCTACTGATGTAGAGGCTGCTGCTACACTGACTGTCTTCACCTGGATTGTTGGTAAGCATGGTATGAAAGAGTTGAGTCATCTACTGATATCATAATATCCAAGTGAATCGAGGCTGTCCAATGTGTTCTCTGCTTCTCCTGATACGCGGTTGTATCCACATTTCAGTTGACTGCTGGAAGGAAGAGAAACAGCAATATTAGGTATCCTGTGGCCCAGCAACTCCAGGCGTGTCAAAGTTACTGCCTCATTTTCAGCTGTTCCCCATGATAGTTTCCTAGTGCTAAGTAGAATTTCAAACCTTCAAATACATTAGTGAGATTCATTTTTAATCCGTTCAGGTTGTCAGCATCTACTAGAAATAATGCATTGAATATTTCAATGCTGTTTATACAGTTGTCAATCTTTACTTCGGCTTCAGTTTTATCTTAGCCACAACCCAGTGGTTTTATGAAGCCATGTCAACCACTCTCTTTGTTATCACGTATAATGTATAGTGACGAGCTTCATTCAGTTGATTGTCCAATTTCTATCTGCAGTGCTTGGGATTTCTTTTGCACACAAACGATCCCTATGAAATCCAGAATGTCGATCTCCAATTTCGTAGTCTACTGAGTCTCATGATCGATTCAACAACACTGTGTTGAAATCATTGTAATAGAACCTAGAGCACGTTCGCAGGTATTTCTGTGCCTGAATTCAACGTATCAATTGGTATGCTGGCTGACATTGCAGCTTCGATGTCCAGTTGTTTCTGTTGAACTGGTCTATTACAGTGTTGTTCAAAGTGCTGTAACAAAAGCCAGATAGAGTCGTATGCCTTGTGATGATGATTTTTGTGGTTGAGCAACTGACCCGTTGAATTTAGTGCTTCTTTATTGTTCTTCTAGTTATGCTCCTGAGTAGTTCACTCTCTTGGACTAGATCTTGTAAAACTTGGAGATAGTTGCTGAAATCTGTCATGAAAATATAAGAACGCAAATAACAATGTATAAAGTGGAGAACGTGAAAGAATTTAATCAACATGTCACCCGTTTTGTTAACCCGTAAGATTACGTACTGTGTAGAAGTTGAGTGGCAGACATACGAAGTGAGAGGGAATATTATATTCATGCAATATTTACAGTTGATCAAATGTTGTCAGACATATATGGAAGTAGTGTATGAATGAAAGCATTTCGAGACATGAATATGTACATCAAAATATATTGAATTTTGCTTTATGCTGTTAATTCATAATTTCAGCTCTTCATTTAGTGTCACAAACTAAGATGTAATCTTTTTGGAATGACATTCATTTTACTGATTGTATTTTACATTGTGATTCAATGTTCTACAAGGTATTTCAATTTTCATGTAATTTTTTATGTCTAGGCTATTCCAGTCTTTTCACGCGCACAAATATTGAATGATTTATTCAGTCTTGCAAAGTAAGTGTGAAGTGGAAAGAAACCAATTTCCTTTTTGGGATGATATATAATCTGTTACAAAATACCAGGCTAGTTAATAACTTTGATTCCAAATACCAATTGCAAACACGAAAAATTGATTGAAAATAGTCATTATGTAAAAACAATGAGTATTCGATATTTCATACCATCTGATTGTAAACGAAATACGTTTTGGAACTAGGATATTCTAATTGATTGCCACCCATAATCTGAAACCGATTCTTTCGGAAACGCAAACTAGTACAACAGTTTGCAAACGAAGCAAAACAGTTGATGTAACGTATAGTAAGTTGGATTAGAAATGTTCGCAATGAGTTCGGGTGAATTAGCAGTACACATAGTCCTTTTGAATACTCGAAACATTCAAATTCCCAGATATTTATGTAAACCTTACTGTAATATAACGTTAGATTGTCATAATCTCAAAGAGTTAAAATACACTATACGCTATATTGTTAGAAACATCTGTCAACACCGTCGGTTGGTTACTCATTTAATACTGATTAAAATTATAACATGTCGGGTGAAGTAATTTCACAGACATATAAACGAAGAATACTCTTCTCAATAAATTCTCTTCATGTTCTACAATCACGAATCTAAACTATTCATACGATAAGTATGAAGGAAATTTTCCTTCCGACGATATCATTTTCGGAAGCTGTGCAATCGTATTTATTGTTAATTTTTAAATGTAGTATTCTGCGGTAAAATAGCGGGGTTTCAAATATTTGTCAAACATAGTCAAACTTATTCATGTGGGAGTCGAGGAAAGTGAATTGATTTTGTGTGATATAGAAAAGGTTGTCACCTTATGTAATGGATTCTGAATTTATGAGAGCTAATGATCCATAAAATAAATGTTAAGCATACCGGTCTACTTATTCCAGGAGGATACGAAAAGGATATTAATAAGCACTTGAAAATTGCGAAATTCGAAGGAATGCCGAGATCATGAAAGAATATCATTGAGCATGACTCTGGTGTACACAGAGTTCGAGTGTGAAATATTGAACTTCTATAGACTCGGCTGTGAACAAATTATTCAAACAAGTTTTTTCGAGCCTATTTTTTACTTTACAATTAGCTCACAATTATCTATTTTCTTTTGCTTTGGCCTCCTTGTCAGTCATCATATCGTGCCATATACTCATTTCTTGAACGCAACAAAATATTTAAACTACGAGGATGAGTTTATTGTATGGATAACAGCCAGTCGATCGCTGCTTTACATTAATAACGTGCTTGCTCTGAATGAGAATTATGACGATTTCCAAGCATACTTACGAACTCTTATCGATAACCGAATCCGATCAGCGAATTGGTCATTTGTTGGTAAAGGTCAAGATCTTCCAAAGATGTGAGTAGTAATATTTCCATTTCGTATGTTTCCACTCTGTCATATCACCCATATAGTCTCAGAAGACTTTTTGTTTGAAACAATGTGTATGAAAGACATTCAACAGAATATGATGAAATTGCCAGTATTGTTATCAGAAATGCTAATTAAAGCAAAACGTAGCCGAAAACAAATGAAATGTACGGTGAGAGGGGTGAGATTCATCAACGGGGGGTTGGAATGTCTGAACCATGCTAAAAAACTGGAACGGTAATAAATAAAGGAATTTAAGGTTAAGTGATTGGTTAGTGTGCACTTCAAATTGTATGCTCCTGTAATTAGAAACACGCTGTTGTTGCCTGAGTGAACTCGTTAATTATCTGTAAATGGTGTATGGTTTTAATATAGTTATCTGACATTCGTATAGTAAAAGCGGTCCTAATTGGATATTCAAAGTCGTACTTTTTCATCACAATGGAAACGGTAAACGCTCGCCGTTAAAATGAGACCAAAAATTTATTTCATCAAAAACTACAGAAATCATCAGCTCGTCGATGTTGTACCAACTGATGAGTTTAATGACATTCGATTTTTTGTAACGAGATAACTAAACAGGTTTCAGGACAATTCAACATTTAGGAACATTTTTGATGTGAAGACATTATGTTTCAGCTACAAAATCAGAGCAATCTCGAATCCATTGGATAAACCGTTGTTCTCAATGAACATCTTCAGGCATCTCCGTGATATTTTATCTCTATCAACTATATAAATAGCACACTTATAATAAGCGGATCAGTATAAGCAAACAACGTTTATATATGTACATATTTACTAACGTATAACATAACTATCCTTCCACAATTTACTCGATTTTAGACTTTTTGACTATACCGTGATCAAACTCGCCTGTATAGCTGAACATCATCTTTGTGTGAACAAAACTTCGGATCTCTTCAGACGATGGATGTCGAAGCCCGAAACGAACCCGTTAGTCATGCAATTAATGATTGTTATATGATAAAACAGACCACCATATACTAGGCCTTTATATTTGTGTTGAATGTTGTTTAAACTAATTCTTAAAACAAACCCTAAAATAGATTGTTTGATCGGTTTTTTTGTTACTATGGTCAGACACGAATGCATGAATAGTTTGTCAATGTTATGGTTTCCTGGGTGTAAAGAACAAATAATTCAGTAGGCGTAGTGAAACAGCTGTGAAATTGATGTATATAGTAGACGGACGATGTGTGCTATCTGAATTTGTCAGTCAGTCGACAGTAACTCTCTTGTATGAATAAAAGATTTTTATTTGCGGGAAATCTTCGAAAACGTTCGACATTTCTACACCATTCTGAACAACGCACTCCAACTTATGTACGATATTTTGAAGTGAGTCATCTACTAACTCTAAAATTTCCAAGTCAATTGAGGCTGTCCAATGTATTCCGTACTTCTCCTGAGATGTGGCTGTTTTCACATTTCAGTTGACTGCCAGGAGAAAGAGCAAGAGAATAGGTACTCAGCCTTATATTACACCGATTTTCACTTTCTATTCATTCATTTGCTGTCTGCCATGCGTGAAATTGAATTGTGATCCATAGTCTGGATTCCGTTTGATGCTGACAATCCTTCCAGTTACAGTACAATTTGAAGAGGGTTTGTATTGTTTCCTCTATCTTCAATGTCAAACGCTTTTCCATTACCAAGGTAGTTGTTTCTTAATGACGGATTCATTTTAACTAGTTGCTTTGGTTTGGGCTCACTAGCAGTATCACAGCCCTCACACATATCAAATGAGATTTGTGTGACGCATATGTATTTGGTGCCTCCTTGTACCAATATCAATATGTTAAAATAAAATAAATAAATAATCTACATTGATCTATTGTATCGCGATGTCGTGTGTGCACGACCGATCGTTAAGAAACGTAGTCGGTTTACCTCGAAGTTGAGATATTCCACCTAATGGAATCTATGATTTTTGATGTTTCATGGCCTCAGAGCAAATAATTGGCCAGAGATAAGTTGACAAGCGTTCAAAGAGTACGGAATGATAGGTAGAATATTTGAGCCCCGGTTCTGTGATTCATATTAGGGTGAAAAACGTGCAAACCATGTTTATATTTCACAGTACACCTTTAAACAAATAAAAACATGCGAATTTGATCTTTCAGAATAAATTAAACTGATTTTAGGAAGAACATTTACACCTGGAAATGATTCGAGATTTAAGTAGTTAATATTTCCGAGCTATATTGATGCTATATTATGCTTATTATGCTTACAAATGCATCTGGAAGCGTAATGTATGAATGAACGTAACACAATAATCATACGTATTGAAATCGATCTTACGATCTTATAACAAGAAAGTTAACTAACTCTGTAAACGAAAGAAAAATAAACGTTTCCTGTTTTGAATAGTGTTTAGGAAATTTTGAAAATCACTTCCCATATAGACATAAATATAGAGAAGAAATTTCATTTCAATCGAATGAAAGTAATGTTCTTGTCCACATTTCTTTTGTTTTACAGCATACGACCTGATTTGAGATTCATTACTTATTGTACAGCTATTCGTCATGGTGGTCATGTAGAATGGAAATTTTTAGAAAGTCAGCTGACGTTGAACGATTTTGTAAATGAAGAAGAGACTGAAAACAAGATGTTGGCATTAACGTGTTCTCGTGATAAAGAAATTTTGAAAGAGTAAGTTAACCTGTTACCTTCAATATTACACTGTCACATCTGTTAATGATAACAGTAACCCGACTAGATGTTTGGAATCCCCATTACTATCAACAAATGAATATGGTCGCATAATCTAAATCCGTTTGTTATAATCGAAGATTTCACAGAATTTGCATGATATTTTCTGAAATTATGTGTAACCATGACTACGATTGAATAATTGTAAAGATTTATGTTTTTACTCCTCGAATGACGATTGAACAACCAAATGCTATCAAGCCTAATGAAAGTTTATAACATGAGCTTACGCCAACTCACTCTCAGATGTAATAGGACATTGGACATGTTTTTAATTTATGGTTGAAACTACATAAAACTTGATCACTCACATTTTTGGAAGGAGTTTATAAAGTACCATCGAGTAAACACGACAAATTTGAACCACTGATTGAAATCCTAGTTGTTTACATAGTCAACATCAGTTAATTCGCTTTTATATCATAATTGACCAAAATTTAACTCCATGTAGATATTCTGAGACCAGTAATGTTGCACATGTGGATCAACAATTACCTCGTGATTATCATCAAGATATAGCACTCACAACATCTCTGAGTACACGAATGTTTATAGTCAACTAGAACCCCTCGAATAATACTAAACAAATGTTTCTCAATTCAACAACAACGTTCACTGACAAACAAAACCGACATCAATGGGACTACCGATATCAAGACTTATTACAAAGTGGTGATGTAATAACTGAAAACTTCATATTTATCAATAATCACACTGAGAATGTCGATTCGTTATTTGCACGACACATTCGTCATCATCGAGAAGATGGAGTTTAAAATACGACATCTTCGAAGGGATAGAATTCACAATGAAAAGAGAAGGAATCGTCGTCAAAACCACTCATCTTACCTACATATCTCATCGACCATAATTTATTCCTGACCCCATATCCTTTTATTTTACAGATATAAATGTTCATATGATTAAATTAGCACACCACACCTACTCAGCTAAACATTTCTTCCATCTTTTCATCAGGTACTTAGAGCGGGTAAGAGAGAACGAGAACTTCTGGTTCACGCTTGATTATTTCGCGAAGTCTCCAGTTGGTAACCAACTATTATGGGACCACCTGAGTGATGTACCTAATTTTGATAAACATGAGTGAGTTTAAAGTTCTATTGACAGTGAGGAACCGATGTCATATTAATGTCACGAGGTTGGTGGTGCTTGTTGACTTCAGACGTTCGCGTTTTGCTTGTGAAGTCGTATAGTATACATTATATGTAGAAGATAGATTGAATACCAACATCTTGGAACGTCAGTCTGCAATCACAGTTGTGCCATTTAGATCATGGATGTTTTAGTTCTCCATGTTTCAGCTCAGACTTCAAGTTCGTACCGAAGGTCCTGAATTTGACGTTGGTTTTATCTGATGACCATCCTGATTTCTTCGATAGTTGGTGGAGTGACATCTGTAGGAAGGTCTGTGAATGGTGCTTCGATATATAGTGAGTCCAGTGGAGCTGGCCTATTCAAGCGTTCCTCAAAGTGTTCTGCCTACCTGTTCTTCTGTTCTTCAACCTCAGTGATTGTCTTGCCTTCTTTATCCTTGACTGGTCTCTCTTGCTTAGTATATTTTCCTGCCACCATCCTCGAGTCATGTGATTGTTTCTCATTTCCCTTCAGGCACATTTAACTTGGTGTATGCATTTGCGTGAGAATATTGTGCCGCTATAACCGATTTGTTGAATGCACATGGACGTGCAAATCTCTCATTATTTGTGTTCATTCATCTTAGTCCATGTCTTCCCATTATATCTTCGTATCCGTTGTTATCCACTCCGACTTTCGTGTTTAGATCACTTGTTAGCATGATCAGGTCCTTTCCTGAGCACTTAGTCATGATCGATTGCAGCCTCCTGTAGGACTGATCTTTATTATTGTCGTTGCTTTCATCGGTGGGTGCACAACATAGGATAAAATTCATAGTAATTCCCACCTTCTTTGTTAAGAATAATGCTTTGATTTTCTTGGTCTATGAAATTGCCTCCCTATAGGTGTGCTTATTTGGACAGCATCAGAGAAAATCCTTGAGTGTGCCGAGCATTTTCCTCTTCATTATTTGAATATGATGATTGTCTTTTTAGCACTATCAAGTACTCAGTCGTTTATTTATGGATATACTTGATGGAAAACAATCACACCAATTTTGAATTTTGCTCTTTAATTTTGTTTCACAGAGACTTCACGGAATCCATACTAAACGCACTCACTAAATATCCTTACTCATTGTTTAGTGGAAGGAATTATGAAAAGGTTAGTGGGGAGCCTGTTTATTTTCCATCGCTTTACACGTTTTGCTTTGTTTCGTCCCATATGCACATGCACTATTGTTCTGTGATTTATTCTTCCGAATGTGATCGTTCAGACAAATATGATAATGTTCGGTAGTACACACTCAATTAATCGTAAACAGTTTCATTGAAGTTGAACTGAATAAAATGAAGACGGTCGAATTCATCAACTACGCATTTCTGCAATTTGCGGTCCGAGATATTATCGCTAAGTGATTCAAACCCTAACACAAATGAAAATCAACACGGTATGGAGCTACTCAGACGAGTGACTACACTGTAGTGTGTTGCGTGAAACTCGATGAATCCTAAGAAATAGATAAGAAAAATTCTCTTATTATTCAGCTATGAGTTAGTGGTAATTCTCAAATTTAAACTGTCAAGTTTATGAACTGGCTGCATATGAATTGTACATGAAATGACATTTTTCTCTTTACAGATCCTCCTAACAGAAGCTAATAATCAAATAGACCCAGAACATCGAGAAAAGCTCAAATATTTATTTGAGATATCCAGTGGAAAACGAACATGGACTGAAGTATATTCTGCCATTATTCAGTGGTTGAAAGAAAATGTCCCAATTGTTACCCAATCATTATAGATCAGTACCGTTGATGAAGATCAACCGAGTGTTCAAGCATAAACGATACGAGATAATTCTTTCGACTTCCTTCATTGTTAGCATTAGTATCATTTTATTCTATCAAGCCTTAGAACATCTATATGTTACTCCATATTCACACCAGCACTTTGAATGATTGCTTGTAGTAACTCGTAGTAACGTTTACTGTATATTTGTATTCATTCATACAACACTGACGTTATAATAATTTTGTTGTGGATTTTGATTCAAAATGTTCAATATACAGAATGTCACATAAAAATAAATATTGTTCTCTAAAAGCATATAAAAAGTGATTCTAGCTGTGTAAAAAATACTTGTTATATTTCAACCATAGCAAATCACTTCAAAAACAGGATTACTTAACCCATTTAAAAAAATAAATCTAATCACTAATTCACAGGTTCAAATTAAACTAAACTATCCAATGACGTTCTTAAAAATGATGTTGAAGTTTATAATCTCATATCAAATCGCATCTGCTTCCTGACCAGTTGTTTCGATTTCCTAATACCCGTTTGTCAATGGCGCTGCAGCATTAATCCAGATATTTTTAGGCAAATACAAATGATCGGTATTAAATCCGTAGAAGTAATCAAGTGTTTTCCCGTTACAAACTTCTAAGGAATTGACAGTGTTAGTTCTATCGAAGCGTCCAGGTCACCCAATTGTGATTCGCGTAAAACCGAAGTTCGCAAAACAAAGATTTATCTGTAATAGCGGTTCTTTATTGAATAATACGCAAACTTTAGTTACAAACCTCAGCTTGTGAGGTGTCTGTGGCGCGTCTTTCTGCATAAAATAAAAAGGCTTCGGTAGTACAAAAGACAGCTGATAGGTGTGTCTAAATTTGGTAAGTTAATCAATATTTGAAACCCGAAACGGGATCAAAACAATTTGGAAACTGTTGCGTTTAAACAAATGAACAAAACTGTAGATAACTGCTACAGTGATTAAGGTAAAGTGATTGTAATGAGAAATACATTGGTTAATACAATAAGCGTTATAATTATGTGTAAATATTTCAGAATATTACGCGACAACCTGCGTTACAACGAAAGTCCAAACTTTACTGGGAATACAACTATTTTCTGAATGTGAATATGTAGTATAAAACAATACTAAAAAGAGTGAAGGGGGAGCGAGTACGAACAATGTAAAAGTAATTTAACATCACCCATCGAAGACAGCATGTTTTCCCTTACTCTCACGGACTAGATATTTAGTGTGGAGACAATCAGATATGACAATGGTACAATTTACTTTAGCCACAGTCATTCCGCAATATCTTACTGTTATAGATAAAATCTGCCAATCAGAAACAGCAAATTATCGATCGAACCAATGACGCGTAAAGCAAGTGCGTGCAGTCTAGAGTCCCAATCGGTCTTGCTTTCCGCCTATCTCAGCCAGTTAATTCCAGAACACCACTCTCAGCCTATGTGATATAAATCATTATATTTCAAACATACTGAATTAATATACCAATCAGACAGACCACAACGTACCATATAATAGAAAATAACATTTGTACAAAATTTGGCCAAATGTGGCTGTGAATGTGTGAGACAGTGACTAATATAGGGCCTAATTCAAGAGTGGCAAAACGTAAAATAATGGTTTATAGGTCAAAATAAAGTTTATAATCAGAGGGATATGAATATGAATAGTCTAGTTATTTAAAAATCATACGATAAAAATATACGTTTAGTATTTGTCCATAAAAGGATCCCAAAGTTACTATTTATTATGTTTCTCGGGACCTAACACCCTACATTCTACTATTCAATCGTCTTCTCATTCTAATAAGCAAAATTTACGTATATCACTAGTGATTTCAACTCTCAATGTTCTGGTCTTTGCTTGTCTGACGAGACGATCTTCTCCTGGATCAGCACACACCGCCAGAACTTTAGGTCAGTTATTTCGTACGTACGTATCTTCAATGTTAGAGACCAGATCGCCAGCTTACGGATCTCGCACTTTTTATGTCCACTTTGTTCGGGTCTGCAAGAGTGACAAATTTTCCATTATCCGTCGACGCCGAAATGTATTTGCCAACGGTTGTGCTTGTCGCCATTGTCGAGAATTACGTTCGCGTAGGTTTATTTCAATGTGATGAAGGTGAGGTATTCTTAAGAACAGTAAGTTGTTGGGTGACCATGTTTCGAGATGTTCTTGGTCACTGTAAACTGGTACCAAACGTAGACCACTAAGTATTCATTCTACTTCAGTCGGATAGGTGGTGAGTGTCTTATAAGACAGAATTTGTTCACTAGATACTGCGCTCAAAGTTTTACTTACGTTTCTTACTAATTTTTCCATATTCCTCCACGACGTCTTGCGTAGGGTGTGTAGTAGTGCCGTTCTATGTTCCATTGAGTGGTTTCTTTAGCTGCTCTATTATCTTATATATCTAGTGATGGGAGTTGTAACTCCTTCTCTAACCCAACGAATGTAGATCCTCTATCACTGCATGCCTTCTTCGGCCCCCCTCTGTGATTTGAATATTTCGACAACGCCATCAGAAAGAAATCGGTTGATCATGCGCAGGCAACGTCTATTTGAATAGTTCGGGTGATGAAACATGTAGACAGGCAACCATAACACTTCCGGAATTCGCGCCCCTCTTTAATCATGGTCGAGCGGAAATAATCTACCCCATTGTTACGAATGGAAATCGGGCGTTATCCTCGTGGACGATAGGTCTCCCATCAGTTGTGACATTGGTTTGGCCGATTTAATCCGACGTCCTATACATCTCTGCATAACTCTCTTGATTGCAGCAGTGCTCTTTAAAATCCGATATTTTTTTATAAGGTGGCTGCTTTGTGGTACACCCTTATATGTCCTTCAGATTGATGGTAATATTGGATAACGAGTTCAGTTATAGGGTGCTTACTAGGAAGAATAATCGGGTGCTTCTGCTACATCGGGGGGTCGCTGCTGTCCAAACGTCCTCCTACATGAATCAGGTTGTCAATTACTAATGGTCGTAACTTAGTACTAACATAATTCTTGGAAGTGATACTGTCCGAATGTCTGTGCCGCTTTATCCGATGACTAACTCCCACGAATTCCAATAAGTCCTTCTCGGCATTGTCCAACTCATCAGGCGAAAGAAGTCAGCTCCACATAGCTTTCTTGCGGAGGTAACGTTTGAATCTAGTGAGCCAAGCTAAGCATTGTTTGAGTTTGGTCTATGACGAAAAATACGATATAAATCTATCAAAAAGAAAAACTACAGTCTTGGTGGTCAAGGCTGTAGCGTTGTTTTTCTCTAGATCGACAGGAAATCTCAATATGTCGTTTCGTTTATACTCAGACCACTTATTCCGTTTGGTTATTAGAAATTCGGGTTTTTAAAGACGAGTTTCAGTACAGTTAGTGTCATGCTTACACATTCCTCTAGAAGGTGAATCAGCAGGGTTAATTGTTTATGCACACACTTCCATTGTGTTGACCTGGTTTATTTGTGAATGAAGTTAGTCCTATCAGCTACATATGTCTTGAAGCGTGACGTTGTGTTAAGTGTGTATTTTATTACTGCGGCTTGCAGTTCAAGGAGTGGAACACTAGCAAATTTTAGAGGAGTTATTGTGGATTTTCCCAAGAACGTAGAAGCTTCATATCGTTACAATTGCATTGAATTGCAATCTGATATAAGCCACGGCTCCATAACTGTTTTCTGAAGCATCTGAAAGCAGATGTTACGAGATCTGTACTGAATCCGACGACTCAATATTCAAACATCGTGGTGTTCTTAGGGCTCTGACACCTGAAATTCCTTCTCACCAAGTTCTCCAACTTGACTGCAACTCCTCATCGACCATTTCGTCCCATCCGTAGTTTTTATGTAAACATAGCTGTTGCAGAGTTCATTTAGACGTAAGTGATAGAAGTGCTAGAAATTGAAGTGGATCATATAAAGATGACACACGTGATAGTACACCTCTCTTAGTAGTCAGATGTTCAGGGAAGTTCACACAGAATGCAAAAAAATCGGATTGACTGTGCCAACCAGATTTTCTGGCCTATCGTCCATAGGGACCTCATTCAAAGCGTCGTTAACATTACTGACCCACTTATGTAAACCAAAACCCCCAAAAGCTACAAGCCTTGTCAAGGTGTTCGCTAACTTGGCAACCTCAGAGGTTGTCTCTTATGAGACAAGACAATCGTACACGTAAACATTTTATCGCAGGTTGGCTTGGGTTTTTTCATCGACTAAATCTCAGTGATCTACTGCTGTACTCCTTAAGGCATAGATGGCGGTAAACGGTAATGATCTATCCCTGGAAGGATGTACATTCAACTCATAAATGTCAGGGTGAGAGTCAATTTTACCTTCAGGATACTATATAAAGCTAAAGGCTTTTGCATCCTTTTCAGGAAGGCGTACCCGAAGGAACATTTCTTCAATATCTGCTGATAATCCAATTTTATGCTTTCTGAATTTAAGCAGAACTCCCACTAAGTAGTTTGTTTGCGGAGATGCTCGTCCTTCAATCAGTCGTTTTTCGATTCCACGTTTATTCCCTGGAAGTGAATACCGATCTATTTTCCAGCGTATCGGCACTCGATAGTGTCTGTTGAACAATATTATTTGTTTGTCGATTACCTCCACGATGACCTTATCGCGTGGTGACGTAGCAATGTTGTCTTAATGCTGGTTTTCGGAAATTTCATGTTCAGACATTTTGAGAATGTCGTCCTCGATGGAATCCTCTGCTTCTCATCGGTTAATGAAGACGAAGGGTTTATTAATTTGACCTGCTGGTCGAAATAATGCAAATCCCACCATAGTTAATGAAGCTTTATGTTGTTTGGGCCTCCCAATATCCAGTAATTTTCAGAAACATCAACTCTGTTCAATAAACCCACTCTATCGCAGGCTATAGTGGGCAACCATATTGCTATCAAATGTTTCCCTCTTTTCTGGAAGTCGGTTATTGTGATTTCTGTCTTGGTAATTGGTAGGTTATCGATAGTGTACGAACCTGCAATCCTACGTCGGTTGATTTTATATAAAGATTCAATTTCAATTCATCGTTCCGAGATGACGCTCGGATGAAAGTGGATATGATTAATAAAGTAATCTAACTAGTACAAATCACAAATATGTTCCCATGGAATAATTAGAGTTGCAGTATGCATGTTTAGTAACAGCCTCTGTGCTATGATGAATTTTATGATGTCGTCCTCTACAACCATCAACCTCACAGAGCATCGGTCGCCGACAGTCCGTTGCTCGATGACCAGTTTTCAAGCAATTAAAACACAAC